GTGGGCAGATGGTCCCACAGCATGGGGAAGGCCTAATACAACCAGCAGGCTGCTTAGAAACGAAGACAGTCAGACTTCAGCTCACGCATTGGCTTTGTTAGCAGACGGGGACCAGCCCTTGGAGAAAGACATCACACTTGGTAAGATGGGGGCGAGTGAAAAGGAGGATGACCCTCAATTAAGACGGACGAACATAGCAACTGCAACAAGAATTGAGCCCAGCAGACACTGAGGGCGGGTGAGACTAGGCAGGCTTCATTCTACCATTTCTAGATGGGGTCAATGGGAGTTCGAGCCCGCTGAAGGACATCCAACGATGACAGCAGGGACCAGGCCCCAGTAGAGCAAGAAGTCTGGACTTTAGGGATGCTGGCCTCCTGTCACCACACTCACAAAATACCATTCAGACTTGAAAACGTGCCCCTGGATGCTGAGGGGTGACGGTTGTGGGGTGGCTCAGGGCGAACTGCTCTTAGGACTGTCTCTGAGGGTAGGAATGCACACAGTGGATTTTCTGAAAAGGGTGCCCCCTGTGATGCTCAGAATCACTCCCAATGGATGAAAAGGCTCCATCCACATCTTTGCCCACCTGGTTCCTCTTGGGAATGTTCTCAGCAAAGGGTCCCTCACACCTCTGGCCCTCTCCAGCGGCCCCACCAGATGCACAGGAGGGAGGGGCGTGGTACTCCGACCTCCAGGATGTTTAGAATGTGAGGTCAATCCTACTCATTTTACTGAGGGTGGTAAGAGTCCTACCACCCCCTTCCCACTGCCTACAGACTCCATGTCACCACGGGGTTAGAAACGCCAAACCTCTCTTCCTTTGACAAATGCGAAGCTGGAGCTGGAGAGTAAAGACTTCCCAAGGCCACACTGCAGGACCCGTGTGCCAAGCGCAGAGACACTTCTGTCCTGGGCTGGCCACTTGTGTCCTAAGGGGATGCTCCCCACAACCAGCCCAGGGTGGCCGATTTGTTGAGCTGGCGTGAAAGGAGGCCTCCCCTCACTTTCTTCAGGCCCTTCCTCTGGAGGCAGCCACACTCTGAGTCTCCATCACCAAGGAGCTATTTCGGGATGACTCACAGGGCCGTGGGGACTCGGGGCCCAGGGGTAATAATAGGTGACATTTATTAGTCACGACTGTGTATTGTTTTCAGTACTTTGCATACATTCTGTCATGTGCACCTTTAGAAAAGGCAAGCAAACAAACAAACAGCTAAGCTCGTTTGTGGTCAAATTGAGTTCAGCTCACAGTGACCACGTGCGTGCAGATAGAACCACCTTCCAGAAGGTTCCCAGGGGTATACGTAACCTTTCGGGAGCAGTACACCAGGCATTTCTTTCTGGTGCCTCTGGGTAAGTTCAGACTATTAACCTTTTCATTGGTGGTCCAACATGTAACCATTGGTACCTCCCAGGGATGCAGAGGGCTTCCCAAAACCAAAAAACTCACTACCTGTTGGCCGATTCGGACACCTGGCAACCCCGTGGGAACGTTAAGTATCTGTAAAGGGTTTCAAAGCTGTCTCTCACTCTTTGCAGAAGCAGACTGGCACCTCTTTCTCCAGAGGAGGAGCAGGTGGTTTGAACCTCTGACCTCTGGGGTAACAGCAGAATGCTTTAACCGTTACGCTAACAGGTATCTGTAATCCACACACAAACCTTATTATCCTGATTTTACAATGGGACAAATGGGGCACAGAGAGGTTGGGCCACACAGCTGGGACGGGGGAATCCCAGCCTGCGAACCCACGCCACTTGTCTTCCCAGGAAGGGCTCTGACCACCGCACTGTACACCGGGGTCACTTAGGTGCAGGTGAGGAAATGTGTACTGAGACTGTCACTGGTCCTCTAGATTAAGCACCAAGAGAAGCCCCCCCAGGGAAGACCCCCAGCTGCCCTCCTCCTCCTGCCACCCCCCAGCCAGGGTTTCACCCCACGAACTTTTCCTCCCTCATTAAATGCCCAGCGCATCCAGCCAATCTCCTGCAGAGCCAGTCTCAGACCCGCCACGTGCCGGACGAAGGCAGGCTTGCAGACTCGAGGTGCACGGACCCTCTTCTTACACAGCTTCCAGGAAGCAGGGCACACATAGTGTTGGCCTTGCAGTGCTAAATTCAGGGGTAGGGTCACCCCACCTTTTCTGAGCACCTGCTCTGTGCCAGACTCTGTTCTGGTCAATCTGGTGATAAGAAGATGCACTGTCAACCCGAAGGCACGAGGTTTGAATCCACCAGCTGCTCCATGGGAGAAGGATGGGCAATCTCCTCCTGTGAGATTTGAAGCCTCTGGAAACCTCCTCGGGGTCAGTGATGCGTCGGTTCTCACCGACAGCGCATGACAGGAACAGCAGCATGGTGGGAAGGGAGGTCGGCTGGCCTGGCAGGGAAGCAGGTGGTCTGGGTCCACCAGCAGCTCTAAGGAAGAATGGTGGACAATCTCTTCTCATGAAAACCCCCGGAGGGTTGGCCTGACGGGGCAGCTCTCATCGCATTGCATTTGCTACTCGGGGCATGAGGGACATGCTGGCGAGTCCCGGAGGAGCCCATGCCTACCTTCCTGGGCGTGTTGTCCAGTGGAGGGAGAAAGGAGGCAGGACGCTGTGAAGGTGACCGTGTACCCAGGCCCATCTCTGTTTCTCCAACACTTCCCCCTGGTGCCAAAGCTCCAGCCGTCAGAAAAGTCTATGGCCCAACCTTCCAAACATCTCCAGAACCCACTCAGCCCTTTCTCGGCGCCTCCATTGCCCCCACCTCATCCAGGGTCCTGTCACCTGCTTCCTGGACTCCAGCGCTAGCCCGTCACCCAGCCACTCTGTCCAGTGAATTCTGCACAGTGTCCAGGAGGGGTCTTTTCATCCTCATGACCCCCACCCACCTGGAATAGAACCCAAACTCCTCATCACACACCATGACCATCTGTGTGCTGTGGTGCTTGTCTTTCTGTCCTGCCCCTCACTCTGCTGCAGACAGGCCCACCTGCTTCCTGTCCTCTGTCACAACCACCACACGCCCACCTCAGGGCCGGAATGTCCTGAATCCTCGGAATGCTTGTCCTTATGTCCGCCTCACGGGCCACCCTTCCACATTCTCTAAGTCTTTGCTCGAACGTCACCTCTCAAAGAGGCCACTCCTGGTCATGACACCCCTCGCTTAACCCTTCTTGGCTTCAGTTTCTTGACTCCTTGAGCCCTGATACAAAAGCTGCCTGTTGCTCTTGAGATGATTTGGTCTCAACATGCAAACGGGTTTCCCGTTACCATCTTTATGGAAGCGACTGCCCCCTTCTTCTTCCACAGAGCTGCTGGGGTTCAAGCCACTGACCTTTGGATAAGGGGGTGAATGTTTAATCTCTGTGCCCCGAGGGCTCCTTCACTGAGGCCCTGGCGCTGGATGACCTCAAAGTGCTTTGGACTTTTCACAGCCCCACTTACAACACAGAGGAGTTCAGGTGGCCTAGTGGCATTGAGTGGCGCTGCGATCCCAAAGGCAGGTGGTTCAGTTCCAACCCACAGGAGGATGGGCAAACTCCTCTCGTGAGATTTCTTGTCTCTGAAAAACCTGCTGGAAAGTCAGCTATGGGCCAGTTCCAACTCAACAGCACACAACAAACAGCACAGGGGAGCCCTGGTGGCCCAGTAGTAAGAAGCTGCACTGCCAACCCAAAGGCACTCAGTTCGAATCCACCAGGTCCTCTACAAGAGACAAATGGACAATCTCCTCTCATGCGATTTACTGCTTCTGAAAACCTCTGGAAGGTCAGTTATGAGTCTGTTCAGATTCAACAGCCCACAGCACCAATGACACAACAGACCGACGCCCTGACGGGTCCCGTGTGATCCTCATAACCACGGCCAAGCTCCAGCCTGTTGTCACGGCCCCTGCGTCAGCCCATCTCACTGGGGGCATATGCTCCTTCAGCCTTTGTGCCCCTGCGCCCCAGCCTGCCAGCTCCATCCGAGCAGGGCTTGATTCCTTCCACCCCTGGATGTCCACCTCGTGTGAGGTCAGCGTAGAGCTGACACTCAGTGATTGTTGAATGGCACATTCTACCTCCTTCTCACGTGGCTGGTGGGCGCTGTGTGTGTGTGCGAGGCCAGACAATGCCCCCCTTTCTCCCTACACCCCCCTTCTTGCTCACACCAAACTCACTGTCTTTAAACAGACTTCACCCAAGGTGTCCCCCCACTTGGTATTCAGGGCTAGAGAGCCTTATGAGGGGTCAGCCGGCCATCCTGGCCCTCAGAAGCCCGACACACAGCCCTGCTGGGCCACATGTCCTGATTGGACACTTGGTTTTCATCCCAATACTTGGAGTAATGGTAAATGGTCATAGATCAGGCTCGTAGCTCTGTCCGCCTTGGTCTGCAGAAGCAGGGACTGGACCCCGTTTTTCACAAGCATAGAAGGACCCTCCCTGCTTCTAGCACTCAGATCCCCTCTTGGCTCTCTCCTACTACTCTCCTGCAACTCTGGCCTTGGCAGGGCCCATTGGCTGATTCGCCGGAGGTTGTTTGTCGAGTGGGAGACCCAGACTCAGGTATACCCCCTGCATGGTGAGCCCCGACTTTGTGCCAGGCCTGTGTCCAGCTAATTCACAAGAGATTGCTCTGTGGCCTTCAGCAGCCTGGGTGTCTGTCTTGCTGTCATTATTTAACGGCTGGGGAAACCGAGGCACAGGGTGATGTTGTGACTCACCCAGAGCAGAGGTTCTGGTCCAAGTTGGTCACAGATGCCATTCAGTGAGGCCATGAGGACCTGGAGTGAGTCCCTGCCTCTCTCTCAGAGTCCCTGTGTGTCAGGGGCTGGGCAGGAGACCCCTCCATGAATACTACCTGCTCACATATGCACACAGAGAGGCTCATAGGCAGAGCCTATGTGAACTGTGTGGTCCTTCCCCTTAATTCCCATTAACTCCAAACCCCTTTGTCTGTGGACACAGTCCCACCTAGAAAGAGGGTTCCCTCTGTTAAGTCTGCCAGGCCCCACCAGATATGTCCTCAGGCGCGTCCCCTCTGAGGTGTGAGGAGCACACGAATGGGGAACAGGTACAGCAGGAAGGTGACCAAGGACCCGGGACGCTGGGAGACCTCCCTGGAGCCCACACAGACCTCTCCTCCAGCAATAAATCCGGACGTGTAGGTGTTTGTGTTACAGGAAGGTGGGATGGTGCCCTGCACACACACACCTATGGCTACACAAACACAAAATGTGCACCTGTACCTTCCCTCACACTCAGACACACACACACACAGATACACACACACACAAACACACACACACACACATACACTATACATATTCTCTCTCACATACCCACACATACTCTCACTCATCCTCACACACCCACACTCACACACACACATACCCCTTCACCTATACATTCACACCCACACAGTCACACCCACACATACACACTATACACATTCTCTCTCACACACCCATATATATTCTCACACTCATCCTCACACACACTCACACACACACACACTTACCTTCACCTATACATTCACACCCACACACAGTCACACCCACACCCACACCTTCACCTAAACATTCACACCCACACAGTCACACACATGCACACTGTACACATTCTCTCTCACACACCCATATATATTCTCACACTCATCCTCACACACACACACTCACACACACACTCACACACACACTCACACACAATTACCTTCACTTATACATTCACACCCACACCCACACCTTCATTCACACCCACACAGTCACACACATGCACACTATACACATTCTCTCTCACACCCCATACATATTCTCTCACTCATCCTCACACACACATTCACACACACACACACACACACTCATGTATACACACTTACCTTCACTTATACATTCACACCCACACACAGTCACACACACACACACACTATACACATTCTCTCTCATTCTCACACACACACACTCACATACACACACTTACCTTCACCTGTATATTCACACACACACTCACACACACATCATGTACACACATTCTCTCTCACACACCCACACATACTTTCTCACTCAACCTCACACACACATTCACACACACACTTACCTTCACCTATACATTCACACCCACACACAGTCGTACACACATATACACACTATACACATTCTCTCTCACACACCCATATATATTCTCACACTCATCCTCACACACACACACACACACTTACCTTCACCTGTATATTCACACACACACTTACACACATCATATACACACATTCTTTCTCACACATTCACACATACTTTCTCACTCAACCTCACACACACACCCCACCACATATACATTCACACACACTCACATACACACACTTACCTTCATATATGCATTTATACACACACACATACACACACTCACCTTTACATATACATTCATACACACAATCACATACATAGACTCACACACACACACACACACACACACACACACACACACACACACACAGCTACATTTAACTCTGCTTCTCTAAGTGAAGGGACACCGAGGTCCCACCACTTCCCCTGGGCACAGGTGGGGCTCAGGGCCCGTCTGTCACACCAGAGCCCACGCAGGGTCCCTGGACTGGAAGCGGGGACAGCCTTGCCTTCCTGTCAGGTGGGGGTGGAGTGCTCAGCCGGACAAAGTAGGCCTCCTTCCTGCCCCAGACCACCAGTCTCTCCCCACGCCCAGGGTCCCTAAGCCCAGCACCACCCAGCATCTGGCCTCTGTGTGCCCTGCCTTCCCCCAGCCCTGGCGCTGAGGACCCCTGGCCACTGCTTACCATGGCACTCTGACTGGTGGGGTCTGCAGACCTGGCCTCAGAGCAGATCAGAGGGCTCCTGGCCCAGAAACTAGACCTGGCCCTCAGAGTTAGCACTGTCCCCAAGTTAGTCCCTCCTAAGTCCTGGGTCCCCGGCTTGGACACCCCACTTACCTCTGGGAATGGCAGGTGGGTGCCGGGCCTGCACGTCGGCCTCCGGAGCCTCTGTTTGTCCAGGCCAAGGTCTCCCCACCCCCAACCCGGCCAGCCTGGGCTCGATCAATGGCCCAGCGCCATGGTCAGGCTGTCTGGCCCTTGTCCCCTGTGGCCTGTGGCCCCGGGCTCCATGGGCCTCCAGCTGGGTCCGGGATGGCCCTGTGGCTGAGCCCAGGTAAACAGGCAGCAGGCAGGCGGTGCCCGCCTGGCTCCACCCCTTGGGCACCTCGGAGGCAGGCAGGCAGGTGTGGGAGATCTGAGCTGTCCCCCGAGACCTGTTGCCTGGTGATAGTCCTGCCTGACTATGCCCCCTGGTCCCCACGCCTGAGGTGGGGGCACTGAGGGGGTTACGAAAAGCCCCTAGGCAGCTGCAGGCTGGGGCTCATGCGAGTCCGTTTACCTGGACAGGTGAGTTCAGATGGGCTACCTGCCTGCGGAAGACAAGAGGCTGAGCTTGTGCTCTGAGGGGACAGAAAAGAGAAAGTCAGGGCAGTGGGGAGAGGAGGCTTGATGCTATTTTCTGTTTAGCCGGGAATTATTCCCAGTTCTGCCAGATTCTGTGGAACTAGATGGTCCATTACAGAGACCAGCAGCCAGCTGGGACTCCCAAACCTTGGTACGGGTTGTCTGAATAGAGGTTTTGAAGGCTTAGTGCAAAATGGGTGCAAAACAGCTGTAGGATATTTTGACGTTGTTAAGTGTTGCCAAGCCGGTTCTGGTTCAGGATCCTGAGGACAGTGGGACGACACCCTGGCCGGTCCTGTGTCGTCTTCACAGTCACGGATGCATCTCAGCCCGTTGTCCCAGCCACCAAGTCCATCTACCTCATGTCCGCTGACCCAAGCATGAGGTCCTTCTCCAGGCACTGGCCCCTCCTGCTAACATGACCAAAGAATGGGCCACAAAGGCTCTTCATCCTCCTATCTAACACGCATTCCGGCTGCACTTCCTCCAAAATAGATTCTGGCTATCCATGATATAGTCAATATTCTTCACCAGCGCTATAATTCAAAGACAGGCATTTTTCAGTCATATTCAATGTCCAGCTTTTGTTTGCATATGAGGAAATGAAAAATATCAGGGTTTGGGACAGGTGTACCTTAGTCTTCAAAGTGACATCATTGCTCTTCAACACTTTAAAGAGATAATTTGCAGGACTGAGGGAGGACCCTCAGAATCAGCAAGAAACAATGAGTGGGAGTGGAGTGCCTCCTTTTTGGGCTGTGAATTCTGCACTAGGAAACTCCTTGACATTGTGAAGGCCAGGACACATGGAGGTCTTCTGGTGACGCCAGAGGTATAGACGCTGATGGAAATAGGGTACCTCCCTTCAGAACTGACAGGGCCTTTCCCTAGAACCAGCTGCCTGAGTTTGAAATTGTAGCCTTCTCAGCTGTAAGAGAATAAATGTGTAAAAAAAAAAAATAGTAATTGTTAAATAAAGAGGTCATTTGCAACAGATTCTTTCAAAGCGAGAAGTCCTTTTGACTTTATGACTGCTGTTTCCGTGGGCGGTGGGTGTGGATCCAAAGTTTGACAACTCCTGGGCTCCGTTTTGTGGCGCTGTTGGCTAGCGCACTGTGAGAGGTTTTGTTTTTGTTCTTTTGAGGGATCATTTACCCCGAAGCCTGAGGTCTTCGATCTTGCTCAGCAATCACTCCATGTCCTTCAGCAAGCAAAGGTGATGGCTCTCCAAGAACATTTTATATTATTAAGATATTTTTTACTCACTCACTCATTTGTTGCTGTCGAGTCTGAATCAGCTCCTCTCTTGACCCTCTGGCAGGTCTCGGAGGCTGTAAATTGCATAGAAGGAGTTTATCCATCTTTCCCCCGCAGTGTCCCTGGTGGATTCGAACTACCAGAGAGACGTGGTTGTTGGATCCGCAGCACAACTCCCAAAGTGCCAGGCCACCAGAGTTCCCTGTGTTGAATTTATTAGGGTAAATAAAATGCTTACTTTCACCTCTGTGCGTGCGTGCGCGCACACACACACACACACACACACACACACACACACACATCTATACATATATATACATCTATACATATACATATACACACATTTTTTTAACATTAGAGAGTTGAAACTGTACCTGTGATTCCCCACTGGTTCCATTCGACAGCCCTGTGTAGACAGGATGCGAATGATCTGGGTACACTACAGCACATCCTGGGACCAGGGTGGCACAAGAAGGCAATAGACTTTCAATTAAGTGCATCAGTGTCTATCTGTGGTGTGGGCATCTGAGATGGTGTGTGCTGGAGGCATGTGACTCGGTACAGAGGCGAGTGTGTGTGTGTGTGTGTGTGTGTAGAATGTACAGTACTGAGTGCAGGAGGATGTATCTGTGCAGCATGTGTGCGAAGTGTGTGGAATGTGTGGGTGTATGTGTACATATGTGGGGTGTGTGGAGGGTGTCTATATGTAGGAGTGTGTGTATTGTTTGTGGTGTGTGTGGGTGTCTGTGTGCATGTGTGGAGTGTGTATCGTGTGGAGCGTGTGTGGGTGTATGTGTTCATCTGTGAGGGGTGGAGGGTGGGTGTCTATATGTAGGAGTGTGTGTGGAGCGTGTGTGGGTGTCTGTGTGCCTATGTGGGGTGTGT